AAGGGATATACATATGGAGGAAATATCATGCAAAATGGTAAAGGTCCTAAAAAATATAAAATATGCATGAAATGTAGTGATTGTCACGCAAATATAATCTAGCGTGTGGACGGTTCCTAAGGGTCTAGCATTGGACTAACCCATGACTATAAGTTCTCACTAGCGTTGGACTAGCGAGAAATCGAGAAAATAGGTCACAACTAGCGTTGGATTAATATGGTGATGTCATGCATTTATTATAACTAAATAAAACATAATTAAAGTAAATAAACACATAATGCACATAGAACATATAACACATAAGCATAATATTTAGATGTAAAGATCCTAAGAAAGCGAGTAAACACATAAGCACACAAGTATGCAAGCATCCAAGCAAATAAAAGCTTAACTATTACATTTGGGGCCCTAATTACAATCTAAGGGGGGAATTTAAATAATAACCTAACTATTACATTTATCTAACTAAAAATATTTTTAGCAAAAATTAAAACCTATCTATTACATAGGCTAGCTAAATACATATCTTGAGCACCTATCTATTACAATTTGACATTTTAATGCCTCTCAAATAATTATAAAAAATTAAATAAAATAAATGAAACTTAAAATGAATAATGACGAATAAAATAAAAGAAAAAACACTCAAAACATGCAATTACACATAAAATACATTGGAGCACATAAAAGAATTTAAAATAATAAAAGAGGTTACTTCCCTTGAAGTTGTGATTAAATGGGGTGAAATGTGCCCTATTTATGCTCCAAAATCAACAAAAATAATCAAGGTACCAATTTAATTATGAAGAAATGGCTATAATCATGAAATCTACCAATTAAAACACTTAAATGAAGTACATTTAACAATTAAAGAAGAAAAGTGACTTATATCTAAGAAATCAAAACTGTTAGGGACCTAATTGCAAAAATTAAGAAAGTTTTAGGGTCATAATTATTACAAAATTTAGGGGTCAAAATGAAAGCAAAATCAAGTTTAGAGACCTATTTGCAATTAAATTAGGGACCCAATTGAAAGAAGTTAAAAATTTTTAGGGCTATAGTAAAAATATTTAGAATACAGGCACTGAAATGCAATTTTTGAATCTGTAAACGGGCCTCTAGGTCATTTTTCTTATTTTTCGGGCCAAAAACTCTCCCAGCCCAACTGAAACCCAAAGCAAAAGGAGCAGGCCAGTCCACCATTCTGACCCCAAAATAATCCAACAAACTGGTGGGGTTTAACCCTGCAGCCCAAGACAAACCCAAAAAAGAAAAATACCTAACCCAATTCCAAATAATCCAAACAAATAACCAAATCCAATTCCCCTTTTATTTTACCAAAACCCAACAAACTAATAGGTGAACTAAAAAATGTTAAAGTCTAATTTCGTCCCAAAATCCAGAATGAATTAACTAAAAAGCACATTTAAAACATAGAAAAGAAGATTTAAGCCTAAAAGGGGTAAAAATGATTTATTTGCAGAAGTTTTTGGGCTGTAGTGAAATTAGGCAAAGGTTGGGGGTCAAAATGCAATATTTGAAAATTTTTCATGCAAAGCTTCTTTTTCTTCATTGTTCTACAACTTTCCTGGGTTTCAAACATATGAGATCATGCACTTCATGCATTTTATTTCCATAGTCCAACACCAAAGATTCACCAACAAAATAAGGAATATTCAGCAAGAAAATTGTCTAAAACAACATGATAGAGGGACTGGACAAGCTCATCAAACTGACAACAAAATATTCCAGAGTTTCATGTCCATTAAGCTCGAATCTTCATGAGAGTTGTGTAAAACTGATAAGAGGAAAGGCTAGAGTTACTTGAGGATGCTAATGCAGTCAAATGAACGCGAGGTGCTCCAAGAAAGTCGTGTGGATTGCTGGAATGAAATCACGATCACTTGGCTGCAGAAATTTCAGCCTTGGCGAGCAGGCTGCTTTGAGTCGAAATTACAGAGATTTGGAAATGTTTTTTGGAGATGTTTCCTGAACAACAGTTATAGATTTACCAACATAGTGAATGTAGAAACTGAAAGAAAACCTAGAGAATCAAGAAAAAGATCGGATTTTGGCTTCGAAGTAGGCTTCTTCACCAACCCTGGCTCATTTTTCTGGAAAATTTTTTCTACAATTTTTCTCTCCTTTTCTCTCGTTTTCTCCTCTATCTCTTTTCCTCTTCTTTTTCCTTTATTTTCTCTTCCTTTCTTCCTTTCTTTCTTTCTTGTCCAAAGCTCCCTAGTTTCCTCCTCTCTTTTCTAGATTTTTCATCCAAACTCAACAGCTGTCCTTGCCACGTAATCTCTTGCAAGTGTTGTGGTGTGCAAAGAGACAAAAACACATGGCTAATATTCACTCAAACCACTTAGCTATCTTGCATGCGTTTCACCTATTTCTTGTTTCTTTTTTTCCTTTTATTTTTTAAGGCAAAAATTTAGAGTAAACAAAAATATTAAATTCCTATTTGAGATTTGCCTTGCAAATTTTCATTTTATTTTGAAAAAAATGAATTTGAAATGATTAAAAAACATTGCAATTTTCAGTTGTGAAAATTTTCTTTTTTCGGAAATTTAATGCAAAAAAATGTTTAAAAAATGATGAACCTAATTTAATAAAAATAGCTAACTATCATTTTGCGAACTTTGGTTAAATAAAAATAAATTAAATTAAAATTTTGGTGTCTACACCTATTGTATTGGATAATGTGTAATTTGAAAATTTTTAAAAGTGCTTATCTCTATATTTGGTTCATAATATAGGATAAAATGATTAAATTTGATATTTTATTTTTTAAATCACAAAAGCTACTTTAAAAGTACCAAATTTGAACTTTTGCTAAAAGTGTTTTTAACTCAAAAAACTCTACTTGTAATTTTATGGATTCACCAAATACTTTAAAAGTATTTTTAGCATTTAAAAGTATTTTTTTCTCAAAAGTATCGCAATCCCAAACGAGTCTTTAGTCTTTCGTTACCAGTTATAATATAGTTCCATAAGATTTCTGAGTCTGTATTTTACTCACACATGATTTTTCCCGTGCCTTATGGGTCAATTTCTTTTCAATTCAAGCAGCGATCGGTGGCATATGACCAATGTTTTGAAACTCGGACCATTAATTGAACCGGTGAGGTGTTCGAGTTAAGGTTTAACCGGTCGGATTAGTTCAACCCTGATTCAATGAATTTCTTACAAAATAATATATATATATATATATATATATATATATATATATATATATATATATATATATATATATATATATATATATATATATATATGTATACACAAAATAAGACATGCAATGGAGTAATTTAAAACTTTATACGATGAAAAGTTTAATATTTTTCAAAGAACTTGGATTTTCACAAATAAAAATTTTAAATTATAATAAACAAATTTCATCTCAGTCTCAATTGTATCTACAAAAAAATAATTTTAAATCCAATCCAAAAATACCACAATATTTTAAAATTTGCGTCCATGGGAATTAGACATTATGACTTTAAATTTTTAATTAATGTTTTTGGGATTTAGAGATTGCAACTTAAAAAAAAAGAAGTTTGAAGTTTGGAGGAAGTCAGGAAAATAGAAAATAGAACTGCGAATTTGATAAGAGGCAAAAATTAAAGAAAGTGAGTGGATGTGGCATTTAATAATTAGTCTTTAAGGTTAAAAAAACTTATTCTTTTTATTTTTTTTCAATTTAATAGATAAAAATAAAAAAATCACTGATTTAACGGTTCAAACGGTCCTTGCCAGTTTTTAAGTCCAATCAACCCGAGCTATGAACCGGACTGGAGCTATGATCGGCAGCACTCATCGATCGGTCCGATTTTCAAAACAATGCATGTGACTATAATTTAATGCTCATAACAATTGAAGTTTGTCCATTCTCCATGTACGCCATCCATCAGCGCCTTTCTAACTTAATGTGCCAACTAATACTGGATTATAATATCAATCTAACTATTACTATATCAGAACCAATTGGTTTCACAGTAGCTACTTCCGGCGGTACCACGTGGCACGCTAGAAGAAGAGCTTCGATGTTTTGTTCCGCCTTCAAATGGCAGTGCAAGTTGAATTTGTCGCCAGTATATTTAATTGAAGTTTGGCCCATGTGAATGATTTTTGGATCATGGCGTGTAATGACTTCGGCTATGGGCTGCAAAGTTCCTCACGTAGGCTGGTCATCATACGAGCTTAGTATTATGAGATTTTGTGCTTTAATTTTTTCTTTTAGCTTTTCTTGCTGTTTGGGATTTAGAGAAAAAGCAAAAACACAGGAACATTATATCTATGATCACAGAAGAGATTCTATATCCAAGATAATTTATTTCCTACTATCATATATATGCAAAAACACTAGCAAGAAATGTAAAGATTTTCTTCACCAACTTATAAAAACTTTAGCACTAAGCAAATTTATAAATTTATATATTAATCGCAATTAATAATTCTGCAATTACCCATCTATATATAGGTACAGAAGAAAGAAACAATAAAAAAATCATTTTGATAATTTTATCTTTTTTCTTCATGTAACAACATTAATCTATTATAGATATAAGCTTCTAATTATTTTATTTCTTCACAATATAATCTAACAGTGCAACCTCATTAAAAAAAAAGGAATATACTATTCCAACTTTACAGAAAAAAATTCATCATATAATTGAATTCTTTTATACTATAAAAAAATACATAGCTTAACAATCAATAAATACTTCTTCAAAAATTAATAAATCACTTAAATTTTTTAAACGACAACGTACATTTTTCCTTCTGACTACTAAAAACTAACAAAAAATAGAATATTTATTAAAAGATATACACGTTGTTCTTTTTACTTTAAACACTAACTATATTATCAACTCCAAAATTATAAAATTATTTATATGATAAATATAAATGTAAAAGGGCACAAACAATTTATTATATTTTCCAAAAAATACGAATGTAATTAAATGCTTTCGGGCGGGCACTCGCTGCACAGACAACCTCAACTGGTAATCCAAAATATGTACACGTGTGAATTCAAGATAAGCATGAACGCGTGGAGTTTAACCCACTGGGCTTCCCTTCTCTTTCTTTGTCTTGCCATTTTTCTTGTTTTGAACGAAAACCCATCATTTCTTTCTTCTGAAAATATGGCTACTGTGGAGGAATCCCCTAAATCCATCTATGACTTTACTGTCAAGGTATAAATTGGATTTTTTTTTTAAAGCTTTTATGAGTTTTTATTTGCCCCTAATCGGTACCTGATTTTGGGATACCTTCTGCTTTTCTTTTTGTCACGAATTTCATATGCCTATAACTCTGCTGGCCGTTACAGTTTCCTATATTTCTACTGGCCTGAAAGTTTCCTATATATCATGTGGGCTTATATTTCTGGTGGAATTGCCAGTTTCATTTTTGCTTTCCATTTTTGGGTTGTTTTTGTGTGTGATACTCAGGCAATTGGTTTGCCTGCTGATTTGAACTTTCATGCTTGTAGTCTTTTCTGTTAGTTACTGAGGCCACAAACTGTCAAATTCTTGCTGTTGTGTGAGGATAATTTACTAGAAATTTAGTTGTAAAAAACCCATAAAGCAAAAGGAGGGTGGTGGTGGTAGTCAGAAAAAAGCAATGATGGCTGTCAATGGGTACTTTTTCTGGATAAGCGTCTGAGATTTGAGTCCAATTGAGGTACCATGTAAACGGGACATCGAGTTACCTCTTCCAGCCCTTTTTTTGCCAGATTTGATTAGTTTTCGTAAATACGTAAATAGGTACAAATATGTTCACTAGAATTTGTTACTAAGCCCTTAGCAGCTGTAGTTTTAATGTTTTATTAGACATTTTGTTTCAAAAACCCACAAAGCAAAAGGATATGCAGAGGGTGGTGGGGAGACAGGAAAAAGTAATGATGGTTGTCAATGTGTACATTATTCTGGACTTGGGTCTAAGATTTGAATCCAATTGAGATATCCTTTAAAGGAGATATGGAGTTACCTCTCCTGACCCGCGTTGGACCAGATTTGATTAGTTTTAGGTAAATAAGTAAAAGATACATCTATGTCCATTATAAAAGTTACTAACCCCTTAGGAACTGTATATTTTATACTAATAAAGTTTGTGCACAATTCGAAAATTGGAGCATTGGACATTCTTCACATGACATTGGCTTTTAAGGATTGGATATATCCAAACCGGATCCACATCCGGATCCAATCTCAATTGAATTGGAACTACATGTCCAGAATGAGTCAAATAATTGGAACAGACTTAGAACCAACATTGCTAATCGGGTCTGTATCCGGAACTATCAATACCTATACAGGTCCTACCCATTAGGAGCCTAAACATGATGATTAGAAATTTGGTTTTCCTAGATCTCGTTCACTGTCTAAGCTTTTTCCAGTTTCTCCCTTTGCCATCCAAGTTTGCACTTACATTTAATTTGCATGAAAAGTAGAAAAGTTAGACTGGATTACTGATCTTTTATCATACTTTGTCAAACAGCCTATTCATTTGCGTTGATATAACTAGGCACCACATGTTGGATTGCATGAATTCTTGCCAATAACTACGTACTTGATTGAAAACATTATGGGTTTGTATACAAAAAAAAATAATAAATAAATAAAATAAGGAATCCACTATGGATGGCCAATTGGATTAGTCTTTACTTGCTCTGCAATTGTGCTTTGTGAATTGTCCATACTAGTATATCTTGTGGTGAAGCTAAGACAGTTCTTAGTGCCATAAGCAGTTTAAACTTTATTACTGACGGAAACTTGTTAAGCAATTTCCTCACCTCTGGTTGTAGCAAGCAAGTCAGATCTAGTTTTTGTACTTTGGTTGACAATTACCGAAGCATGAATCAGATGACAAAGTGGGAAACTAAAACAAGAAACGGAGAAGAAAGCTGTTGTTATCCTAGCGAAAATTCAGTGCTCAAGATGGTAATACTGACGGCCAAGAAGGCCTTGGTCTAGTGGCTAAGTTTGATGCCCTAGGACTTAGAGGTCCTAAGTTCAAATCCCCCTTCCCCTTCCCCACTTCTTAAATCCCATCCATCCCTTTGCTAAAAGAAAAACAAAATTAAAAAAAGGTGGTAATACTGAGGCTCTATACCTTTTGCCATCCACATGTATCTTTTCCATGTTTGAAATTCATTTTTCTGGCCGTCACAGATTTCCCGCCAAAATGGCCTTCAATATGTGTCCCAGCACTGATCATCTTTCTCATTGAATTTCATTGCAGGATGCTCGTGGAAATGATGTGCCCCTTAGCAATTACAACAGCAAAGTTCTTCTTGTTGTGAATGTTGCTTCAAAATGGTAATTGCAGTGCCAGTATCTTTTGAGAATATCCTTCTAAGTTGCTTTTATATGTTATGACAACATTTTAGAACTTCAGTTAAATAGTTTTTGGCTGTTCTGTCTCTTCTAGAAGGATGAGTGAAACGACAATCAAAATCCTGCAAAGATAAAAATTCTTTGCTTCACTTGACTCAGTGCAGAACATCGAATTTTGTTTTGAACTTTCTGTACTGCTAACATTTCCTTGGTGTCTGCCATGGAGCTGTAATGCAACTTTTATAGTTTGTAGCACAAACGAGATGTAATGCAATGGCTCATAGATGAAGAACCTCTATTGCCATAACTCAGCTAAGACTATACCAAATTGTTGGCATCAATTACTAGATAAGACAGCAAAATCAATCTTGAAGAGTCACTGAAATTGGTGCTGGTTAGTTGTTTCAACATAGAGATACTTGGTCAAATTAGACAAAAAGTTGGCTTTTTTGTTTACTAAGTATAGTTTCTCCAAGAGAAGGCAGTTACCATTTTGAAGTCATAAACCTGTATTATTCCTATAGCTCCTGTAAGAAGATGAATCTATTGATGAAAGAGGTGACAGGTTTGGCTCCTTCAGCATTGTCCTTCACCTAATAGGAAATTCTATCAAGTTTCTTTTACACTGAACGCAATGAGTTTCAATTGTAATGTTGTTGTTCTTCTATTGTCAGTTTTTAGCTGCCTTTCTACTATGTCTGCTTTTGGAATCCAAGGTATCAAGTTAAAAGTAAATTGCCATCTATGCTTCAAAATTAACTAGTTGCATTGGGTGTATATTTGCCTATACTATGCCATTAAGAGTGGAATGCTTGTAAAGATCTTAAATTTGAGGGAAGATATCTTCATATGAAAAATTATTAGTTCTTCAGGCTGAAACTCAATGTGAGCCAATATATCTTCAAAGATTCAAGTTTCTTTGCCTTTTCCTGTTAAGGTTTTTCTTCTTAACTATCAAAATTCATTTTTTGGTTGCAGTTCAAATGTTAGCTTTGATCAGAAACCAGTATTTGGGACAAATATTTGATCCCAGTAACATCACATTGTCCTGAACACGATTTATACAGCTACCTGTTACTCTGAGACATTGCTTTACCCTTTTCCAGTTCCATTTTCTATGCTACAACCCAAAAACTTATGTTGGAAATGTGGAGAGGAGGGAGTCAATAAGATTAAATTCTGCAAGGTGTGAACATAAGTTTATAAACGTTTCATTCAAATATCATAGGAGATATCATTTCCCTTGGGATGCAAGCCCATGGCTCCCACTCTCCCACTAGTCCTTGTCGCTGACCAGTAGTGGCAGCCTGTTGTCTCAATCCTTTACTTCTTATCTCTGTATCTGCCTCTTTCTCCATCTCAGTCTTCATCTCTGTCTCCTTTGCTTGATTAGGATCAATCCACTACCTCTGTTTGAACTTTTATTGTCAACGTGATCTTAAAACATCTACAATCCTCTAATTAGCTAGAACTTGCTTATTAAAACCAGTTGTTATTGAGTTGGTTACTGAAAACTTCTTAGTCAAAATGCTTAATTAAATTCCAGGTAACTGTGAAAATTTCTTATTCAAAATGCTTAACCAAATTCCGGGTAACTGTGGAATCATTTCATTTGTATTTATTACTTCATCTTACAAGTAAAGAAATCTTCCCAAGCTTTCAGTGCGCATTCAGCGTGTTTTGAATCCTAGTAGTTGCATTGGCATTGTCTACACGAACACCATTTTGTTAACAAAGTAACAAAATTGATTACCAAGCATTCTGCTTGAGGTTAATTTGCGTCTTTTTAGCCCATGTTAGGTATGCAAAGATGCTCCTTTTAGTTCTTTTTTTTTTTTTTTTTTTTGGGACGAACTTCATGTTTCCATGTTTAAAAGTGCAAGGTTAAAATTTTCAGTGCAATTCTAAGGGTTTCGTCAAGCTTAAATCACACTGACAGAAAACTTTTTTCTGTTTAATCAGTAATCTAATAAGCCAAATATCATTCTTTTCAGTGGTTTTACAGACTCAAACTACAAGGAGCTGAATGTTTTGTATGAGAAATACAAAGATCAAGGTGGCTCATATTGTCCTCTCAAATTTTACTTATTAGTTTGGTGATTATAGAAACATAATGGGTTTGCTTTCAGGTTTTGAAATTTTAGCATTTCCTTGCAATCAATTTGGTTGGCAAGAACCTGGAACTAATGAGGAGATCCTGGAAACAGCATGCACTCGGTTTAAAGCGGATTTTCCGATATTTGAAAAGGTAAGTTTGTTTAGTAAATTATTTGATTGGACTTCTTATGGGCTAGCAGAAAAAATACAAAAAGTACTGTGGCTTTCAACTTCAAAGACTAAAAGAGCCCTCCCCGGTGTTACGGGCTGATCATGCACCATTATTTGGCACACAGCAGCAGATCATTTTCACCCGTGCAGCACCCTTAGAGCCATCCAAGTTATAACAAATTGGCCAGAGAAACGGATATAGCTATTGTTGGATTATTTTTTATCGTGTCAATCACTTTCTCATAGCTCGTAGTGATAAACTTCAAGTTCAAACTGATATGGGGTTTGAGATTGTGAAATATGTTCGTCCGCCCATGCTCCATTCTCATCCATGTCCACCGTGAAGTAGCTGTTGAGCTTTAAACCTAGTTCCCATGTTTTACCATTCTTATTGCCATTCTCATTATGCATGGGTTAGTGGTAGTGCATTGCTAAGAGAGACCTGTACCTACCAAATTCCCCTTTCTTGAATGTTGTCAGATTGATGTGAATGGAAAGAATGCAGCTCCACTCTATAAGTTCTTAAAAGCAGAAAAACGTGGTCTGTTGATTGCTACCATCAAATGGAACTTCACAAAGTTTTTGATTAACAAAGAAGGAAAGGTTGTGGAGCGTTATGGTCCTCACACTTCGCCTCTTCAATTTGAGGTAGGCCCCTTTGTCTTTTTCTTATCTCTGCTCTTTGCTCCCCGAATGTACTAAATGAAATTTAAATAATATGCAATTTCCCCAGAGCAAGTCAGAAAATTCTTGCTTTCCTGGCTTGTTTTCAGAATGCTTCTGACTATTCTTTCCTCTTATCTTGGCAGGAGGACATAAAAAATCTGCTTGGCTCTTCTTGAACAGGTTCCCAGTTTTCCTGTTACCTACACCATCTCTACCAATTTCCATCCCCATCTAATTTGCTTTCACTTTACTTTCTCATTTTCATCTTTCTACAAAAATACACAGGACACCCTATTATTGCAAGAAATTATTGTTTTATTGCTGCACTTCATACACTTAACTTGACATCTCTTGGTTTGGTAACAAAATGAAAAGAAAAAGATCTGCTGGCTCTATTCATATGAATAAGAAGTTTGTCAATTTATCTTTCTCGGATAGACTTGGTTACACATCCAACAGAAAAGGAATTAACACAATTAGAAATATCCTCAATCTGAAATCCCTTCTCCAGCTATTTGCAAGTCTATCTGCAGTAAATTACATTGTACACATAATTCACTAATGAACAGGCAATTATAAAATTATCACCAAGATATGGTAGCTAAACAGGTGGGTGTCTGCCAAAACCCCCATCATCTCAAGTGGTTTTGGTAATATATAAAAAATAAGAAAAGTAAAACTTACATAGGATAGCTGCCGGATGAGTAATTCATTCTTGTAGGTGGTTGATTTTTTATTTTGAAGATTTTTTGTTTTGGGAAATTTTTCAGAAAAGTCAACAATTTAGAATTAGGTTTATTCTTTACTCTTTTCAGTTGGGCCGATGCTCATTGAGCTCTGCATGCAGAACACTCGGCCAGCACAAGCTCAGATTGGAATGAAAATGAAAAGTTGACTGGTTAAAAAAGAGCCAAAAGTGTGTGTGTGATTGAGGACAGTGATAGGATAGGACATATGTTACAAACACAGTGAGCTAAAACCTCTGGACAAGATAGTTATTGTGGTAGTTTCCCTCAAATATTTTAAAGTTTAAGTTCTTGCTTGAGTTTCTGTTTCCTTAATTCTTTACTTAGTTTTCCGCGTCAGAAAATGAAACTTTTTTTTTTATTTTTAAATCTAGGATGAACTACTTGAAATCATTTATGCACTCAAAACTTGGGTAAGCTGTCTTCTGAAACTTTCCTCTGGTTTGACAAGGCAGGACATTCTGGAACAGCTTGGGCTTCAGCTTTGCTGATAATGCCCTAGAAGTGGAAACTTCGCTGTAATAGTCTCTTATCTGTGTGCCCATATATGTGTCATGTTTATAATCGCTTTGATCATGTAAACAATCAACAGAAGGTTAAGTGTGTCATGTTTTTAATCGCTTTCATCATGTAAACAATCATCAGAAGGTTAAGTTATTGATGGTACTTTTAGTAGTGAATTTGGATATTTTTATCTGTGACAACTGCAATTTAATTGCATATGTTTGGTACATTTTACAACTCATTTGTCTATAGTAGGAGGTCTATATCTCTTTTAATCACATAATACTTGGTAAGATTTATGAGTTCGCAAACTTGGGCATTCATCTCAAAACTCATGTAAGATTTCATGAGCTCGTAGTACTTGATAAAAAACTTGGCATTCATTTCAGAACTGTCTTTTCATACAGAAAACCAAAGTCCTATGTACTACTACTATTCTAAAAGTATTGTAACTCTAATATCAAATTACGTTGACCCAACTAATAAGTTCGAATTTAGAGTTTAAGTTTTGTCAATATGAAGGTCAAAGAAAACTAGAGAACTTGGACGATAATCTCTTGATAATCAGCCTAATGCACTGGTATGCATGTGTGGTGAGTGGTGACACATTTTGATGCCTGGTATGTCATATGAGCGGCTCAAGAATTCTATTTTTTTTTTTTTTGTCAAAACAATAATTTTCATTAAATATATTTCGAAAAGTGCACACAATTGAGCAAAGGCTCAATAATTCACTTTACAATTTGGGCAACTAACCCAAGTGAATAGGATTAGACCCATTCCATATCACAATGGTTGCTCAAGGCTTGAGAGGTTCAAGACTTCAGTGTACCAGGCTCTTTTTGAAACAAGCCTTTGATTTTATTTTAATGGTGGTTTCATGTTCCTAGCTACCATAAGTTAATCGTTAATTTCATTGAAACATTAAACAAAGTTGCATAAATGACCCCAGTGCACAGGAATAAACTCACTCAAGAACAAAATAAGTTTTTTTCTTTTTTTCTTTTTTTTTTTTGTAGGTAAAGAACAAACTCCTTTGTTAACCTTCATATGCCTGATCAATTCGTTCCATCAAGATGCTTAGCACGAATAGTAAGATACAATTGCAGCAGGACTTCTTCCTTGGCAAAATTGATTTTCATAACGATCAAATGTCATAGCTGAGCAATTCAGTCAGTGTTTTAAAAGGCAGAGAAATTCAGGCAAGATGTATTGTGTTTGAAGAGACGAAACAAAAATTTTAAAGGCTACATCCTGTGATTTGTATTTTTAATGTTTAAGAAGAGAAAAGGTGCAATAAAATGGGATTAAAAGTACATATAATTCAATAAATAAGGGAAAAATTTTAGGAACAAGTGGACAAGGTTAATTCCTTTATGAAAGCCAACTAACTAGTGTTTAACTTTATTAATTGTCCCATTACATTTCTCTTTACAATAGAAGTATCTAAAATCTTCTCTTCACATCCATTGTGCCACATTTCCAAATCCAAGAAGAGTGAGAATATGGCTACTTTTCCTTCTAACTCAGCCTTTAAATTGTTCTGCAACAGATACAATTATTTAGCTCAGTGGCCACTAAAAAGGACTAAATCCCTCTTTGGGCTGCAGGTCAAAACCCCACCTACTTTAAAAAAAATTTAAAGGAGATGTCAAATCACTCATTTGGTCTAATCAGGTTGTTATACCTACTAACCCCTTATATATAACCTCTTTAGTCTCCCCTCCCTATAGATTAGGATAAATTAGATTATAGAAATATTATCGTTATAATAAAAAATTTTAAAAAAGTACAATTATTTAATTACCCATACACCTGGTTGGAACTTGGATATTGGAATAGGGGTAGCGATGGTTGTAGCAGCATTTGCTCCTAACTTTTGAAGGTTAAGATTTGGCCAACAATTAAAATAAAAATTTGGAATATATTATTTAGATAATAACAGTAAATCTGACAGAATGACATGTCCATTTTGTTATGAATAACGCTTGTTTTCAATATTTTTGTCACAAAGTTTTACAAGTTAATTGTGATGAATTACAACTTGTGCAAACTTTATAAGTTTATATATAGTTTAGGAATGGTGACAACTGCTTTTACCCCAAATTCGACCTGGTTATATCATCTGTGTTTATGTTACGAACGATGTCAGTCAGTGGCAAACTTGAATAATGTTTCATTGTAAAAATAAGTTCTCTTAGTTTTGATCGAACGTAGCAAAATCTCTTAGTTTGATGAATAGTAGTAGACGGTAATAAATAGTTGTACATTATAAGTGAATGTAATACATTATAAGTGAATGTAAGAATTTACTAATATCCTACTAAATATATTAGCATAGAAATACATGCATTGCACGTTCACTTGTTACTACAAATTTTTTTTTTTTTTTTTTTTTGTGTGATTGGAAGGTATTGATTAGTACTATCAATAGGGTCAAGTCAGTCGAGTTTGACTCGTTTGGCCCAAAAAAAAATCCAATTAAGTGGATTCGTCAATGGTAGGCACCCTTTGACTGTGCCTACCATAGGAACGCGATTCCAGTTCGACACGTGCCCAAAAGATCGTCAAAGTGGACCATGCGAGGCGAAATGAACATGGAGAGTCCCACGAGCATGGAATAATTGTATGCAAGATGGAATTAGGAAAATCATTTAAAAATCATGCCTGAGCACATGGCAGGGGAGGAAGTGAGGGTGCAAATACAATGAAATACGGGGGTACATCATAATAATAGGAATTTATGCAATGGAAGTTGGAGGTATGAGGTAACAGGAGACTACAAGCAATAAGGAGGACAAAATAAATCAACTAGGGGGTAAGTGGGAAAATTAAGTCACACATGAGGACAACAGAAGTAAGGGAAAAATGTGGAATATTGGATGGAGTAAATTTGATTGGATTAGGAATATTATCACAGGCTCTATTGGTTGTAACAGAAGATAGCAGTGCGGTAATATGGAAGGAGGAAAAAAGTAACGTTGTCGTAACATATGTAGAAATTTGCCATAATCAAAAGGGGGAATATAAGGCAGCCGAATTATGTGAAAAACAAAATTAATCGGTTAACCAAGGTTTTAAAACCCAGTACGCAGTGCATCATCTAATCGGTTGAAATGGAGGTCGAGTGGCTGTTCGAGCCGAGTTATGCTTGCAACATAGAATCGTAGGTGGAAAGGTAAGAACCTGCACTAACCTCCTGCTTATTCGGTATAAATGAATTATTATACGGTTGCATGTGAATTTAGCAAAGAAAATGCGTCCTTAGCCAGGGTGAAGCTCTGTTTGAAGGAAATGAAACTGTTTGATAGTAATGGAGGGAGTTGAGGACTGTTATTCGAATTTCAGCCTATAAAATGATGGAAAACTTATGTAATAATTTCTTAATCACCTAGTACCCTTACATACGCATGTTGTGTGCTGGATTCTGGCCAAGAAAAATTAAGGCCATGCTTGGATTGCTTGTTTCCGTCGGAAAATATTGTCGTTTTCCGTGATCACATTTCCCTATCACCTTTTTCCCTCGCATATATCAAATCGCTACAGTAATTTTTCCATGAAAAATGACGGAAAATGCAATCCAAACACAACCTAAGTTTTGTTGCAGAAAATCTTGTTTAGAACTGATAGCTTGCTGAAAAAGTCTCTGTCCTCTAGCGGAGAGACAGGTATTTGAGTATGAAAGAAACCTGATGCAGGCTGCTATGCATCAGACTTTACAGCCTTGCGCAGACCTGAGTTTCATCCAGTTTTTCTTCTGAATTCTGGTCATGAACTACCATGTTTAGCTTAGGATAACCTGTAGCTGAAGAAGTGACCTCTGTATGAGTGATTGAGACCTAAAACTGGAGGAAAAGGTGAGGAAGTGTCAAAAGATAAACTACTGCCTTGCTGAAAATTTATTGGCTGCAACCGAGAGGGAAAAGAAGGAAACTCTAGCTGTCCTCTGCAAACTTTAGCTTCTAAACTAACATATTAAGATGTATCATGTCATAAAGTCTCTTAACTCCAACAAGTAAGGCAGAAACGAGTAGGACCTAACTAAATGTTGAAGGGAGAAATAAGATCAGTTGATTGCAGGAAGAAGGGCCGAGGAAAATGCAGCAGAATGTGCAGTTAAATGGTCTGATACACTGGAAATACTCAATAGCAAACACATGAAATACTTATGATCACTTGTCACGATTGAAAACACCTTGCAACCAGTAAACTCAGGAAATACTAGCTGAGCTGGAGGAAAAAAAAAAAGGAAGAAGCTGAGGCATTCAGCTGTGATGCTGGGAAGGGAAATATTCACTCTTGAACAGCTTTTCTTTTAGTTTCTATCTCAGTAAACGTCCCCAGAGGATAGCTAAGGCTGCTCAGTGATTAGTAATCGTGTTGGCACCATAAGTTAGAACTAACTGTAGCAAGTAGGGAGTAAAAGCTGCAAATTTGAGCTGCTACATTGTTGGAAAACTAACAGCTAGTGCCAGAAAGGATGACAGATTCTGTGAACTACCACAAGTGATAACTGAGGTTGCCCTGTGGTTTAGTAGCGCTACGTTTAGCATCATGAGTAAGGTTAAACTAAAGCAAATGGAGAGGAAACTATGAATTTGTATGCTGTAGTACATCCTGACCGAGGGAGGAAGGATTTTGATTAATCTTTCCTTTGAGTTTAGTGCAGTTTTCCCACGTACTGTACAAAGCTACTTTGTAGCTTAATCAAGGTAATTAACTTGTCTAATTGGAACATAAGATAGAAAGGAAAGACTTAATGAAAACTTAGTCAATTGTTGCGATAATAAATGACAGATTTTGTGGATAATGATAGTCGATCAACATGTTGAAATTATGAGCTTTTCACCTTGGATGGAATGTATACTAAGCAAATTGAAGTTTAAACAATTAAAAGTGAAGATTGTCAAAGATTTAGAAACATTTGAGCTGAAGTCTTGTTCTTACTGACGGAATGAGGAAAGAAATGAAACTCTCATGAAATTTTGGGAAATTTAGGTTAATTGGTTGAAAATTGATGTGGAACATCTTATAGCAACTTAGAACTATTTTTATGAGTATTTTAAGGAACTTAAAACTAGAAAGCTAGTAAATTTCACGAGACTTAAACTACAGGTAATCTAGCACTTGATCTAACTTAAAAGAAAGGAATTGAAAGTCTATTTGTCGTAACTTTGAAATGTTGAGTAGAA